TCACCAATCAATGTAACAAACCTTTTCTCATATGTAAGTGCTATGCATACTCTCCTTTTGACTTGATGTCACTCAGCATGCGCAATACCACTGTCATATGATAAACGCACATACATAGCGCTTACCTTCTGTTTTTCTGTTTCTTATTAATCTCGGTATCCATGGTTTGCTGCCGCCTCTGTCTGCGTCTCTTAGCGCAAAACCACAGAACCACACCGAACAGTACGAGTGCCACCACACTGATAGCAACGACTGCTGCGAGGAGTATCACTCCGCTCTCATTCTCGTCATCATCATCATCCCTCTCGTGGGATGAGTTATTGACCCCTTCGTCGTAATCTATATAAGAAAGGGTGACTGTTAGTGTTCATCAGGATTTGAATCCGTATGCGTGCAGTTTTAGGACATAGAGACAATTCAGAAGCCTCGGGCTACGATTAATTCACATACTCTAAAAAAACATTGTTTCCAATTCACTGCGGATGCGTAACTTTCTTGTCTTCTTATATCTATTTACAGTACTGTACTAAACTATCTGCAGTGAGGCATATAAAGTGAACCAACGTAAATTTCATATAAATATAATATATACACTTTTGAAAGCTAAAGCATCACGGTTTTAAATTAAAAAACATAGAAAGAAGTATGCACTATGTACCATGAAGCAAAGTTTTAGGGAAATATCATTGTTTTTCTAGTAATCTGCACTCACGGACAAATACTTAATTTCTACATTTGGACATCAGCACAAACGATCGCAAAGTTATCTTTTACAGGATAATACGCAGATTCATATATTGTAATTAGTTGGAAGATGCCACACCTTTCTTTCGACTTTCCTCGTACGACGAAGATGATCCGATGGCAAATTTTAGGCGACTGTCTCCGTCACGCAGATCATCGTCGCCTGCAAGAACAGATACGACAGTTATACTATAGACAAGGAAATTTTGTATAGCACCCATGGTGTCGCTGAATGTATACAAGAATAAGGGTTTCCTCAAATGCTAGAACTTTCCAATGTAATGCACCAACGCTGTCAGAGAAGAACGACTCGCGACTGAGCAGCTGATACGATCCGCATCAGAAGGTATATTTAAAAATAAGAAACTCTATATTAGGTTCCATGACCATCGACCAGTCGACCCTTAGTCTCTTACATAGCCTTCAATCGATCAGGAAGTTAGTATTTAGTTATATGACTCTCGGCCTCTCAAAGGTCACTCAGCTCACAAAAGTGACATGATAAATACAATTCTGCCAATTCATAAGCCGACAGCGATGTAGCATAAAATCAAGCGCCAATCGAGCCAATTAAAATCAAGTTGCTAGGCTGTTTTTATACGACTTTCAATTTTTGATCAATAAGAAATATATACTATGAGTCATGGAGCCACTGTTTTTCGGTTTGTTTTGTTTTTACTTTCTACATATATAACAATATATAAAAGCAACCACAAATTTTACAAAATCATAGCCTTCTACATACTATAGCCTTCTGACAATAGAGTTTATACTGACTCTATGTCGCAACTGAGAACCGAGGTATTGTTTGAACGATCAGGATGGAATTTGCACCCCAAATGAACACATTCTGTATTTCATGAGTAAGTAAATATAAATATATCTGTTTAGTGTGCTATTCTTTTATGTTTGCGCCCATGAATATGTCGAGCAATGAACGTGTCACCAGAAATCATGTCAACAGTATCGTGCGCAATTGGATGTGTGCCATAGTATTGTGAATACATATTTGACCGGGATGCTGGTGCTATTCTTTACATACAGTACTGTATAAACTGTCATACCGCATACAAGCAAACACGGCGATGGTGCGCGTTTACCGAGGTGTTGCCATGTTTGGCAGAAGCGTGCTGCTTTCACTGCCAGCTCAGGTTCCTGGCGAAGGGCTCATCAACGATTCAATACTAGCGATGTAGGTTATATAGAATATCAGAACTAGTTTACAGATCACCGCAAGAATTTTGCGAATTATAGTCTCATGTGTGTACTTGTCGCTGCAGCACGCAGATTCTGAATACAGCAATTTACCCGACCTGACTCTGACGACCTGACAGTACATGTTTCCTGACCTTTTAGTAAAGAATACTATGCGCTCCTCCCGTATTTACTTGGTAGGTACTATCTACTATCTGCTCAAAGCCATGCGATAGGATTCCATAGACCAATATCCTGTTCTCCGGCAGCAGAATCCCGAAAATGCGAATCAACCGCTGGGAGATCTGTCCACTCTCACCGTCATCCCCCTACCATCGCTGCGACTCCTGAGCCTTGAGAGGTCCGAGATCGGTACAATTGATGGCGCTGACATTCCTAAAAAGGACATCAATTACCACATGAACCTGGAAAACAAAGGTCTGGTATTGCGTACACTCTCTGCTTTGATCCGTATGAGAGAAGATACCTTCGACAATATCAAGATTAAGTCCTCGCCCCTTGTAGGAGCGTTTGCCAATTAGCACACGCTAGACTTTGGTCTCTCTGTATTCAGCAAAAGCCTGCCCACGCTGAAGTCCGAGTTGACATCCAATGGAGGGTATCTGGTCAGCGACGATAAAAATTCTGCAGCCTTAAAAAAGCCCTTAATAATTACCTTTGCCCTCCACGGTACAGCTGAACAACTTGCCATAGTTCGTGTTCTCAATTTGCGTTACTGAAAACTCATCTACACTTGTACGCTTCTGTATATCCACGATACAAGGTCGATATGTAGCTGTCAATACTCATTCGCTATGTTATTTACGGTGACATACGTATTCGAGAGCATCCGCACCGAGGAATATTTACGGTACAATACTATTTTATTTGGATGCTATGTATACAGCTATAGGCGAATGCCACGGGACATCTCTACGATCTCTCACATGTATGTGCTTCCGAAATTGAACAAAATGTATTAAGAAATATTTAATTCTTGAGTTCGGTACTACATGTACCTTTTCTGCATACATATGTGAATACTACGTAGATATAAATACGTAAATATGTATGTACAATATATTTAAAAATATATGGCACTCTCGAGTCTCGTCCATCAAATGTGATGGAGTCACGACTCACGACTCGCGAGAAATTTTATTTTTTTTAGAATTCAACACATCATCAAGTAACAAGTTTGTATTTGTTCAGAGCAGTATTAGTCAGGTCAGGCCCGGCAGGGTAGCAATTCATTAATAACAAACTATGGTCTCCAAAGGAAGATGCAACTTTTCCCCGGAGACTCAATTGAGAGGGCCATGTAACAACATCAGAGCTGCACAGAAAGTAGACGGTTTCCTTTGTAGGAGATAAATAGTGCTGAATTATTAAGCACCAATTTCCTCAATACTCTGCGTCATTCCATCCATCTCACCTATTTATATCACTAAATTCACCTTTACAAAAACATTCGCAAACATGGCCTTGTCTCTGTGCAAAGTTTTGCGGTTGACGTTGAAATTCTTACCCTCACCTTCAGCAGTACCACTTGCCAGCAAACCGAATAATCAATTGGTGCGTGGCTTTTGCAAAGCCAAAGCATCGAGATCATTTCTGCAGGCACATAGTGGACACGAACTGCTTTTACCTGCTGCCGCCTTCTCTTTTCAACCCAGGTACAAAATATTGAAAATTGTGACATTTTCTTGTATGATTATTGTAATCCGTATCAGTGAACATATGCAGA